GCAATCCACTTTGCTGTAATGGGACAGGAAATTTATGGTGGGTTTAGCACAGGGTAGAGTTGGGGGCTGGGTAGAGGTGGAAGACTAGATAGCTACAAAGAAGGGAGAAGGGCCTGGAAGGAAGAGGGTGAAGAGCTGCTCTGTTCTGCTAGGGACAGTCCACTTTCTCTTCAAGCTTTTGGTTGTCATCATATCCTAAATATTTCCCCATGCTTTACAGGCACTCCAGCACACCAACCCCGTGACCCATTCTACTGTCGCGCTCCATAAATTCCCATCTAACTACTCTCTCAGGCTCTTTTTTCCCCTGAACTCCTCACACTTCATGAAGCCATGCCATAAAGCTTTGTACTTAAATGGTACGCTTTCTCCATGAAAACAGAGCCTATAAAACAATATGTAACAAATTCTGTTGTATTTCCTGAACCTGCCAAAATGAACAGGATTGACCTTAGAGGCCTCCTTTCACAACAACACTACAACTCGCAAACACAGTAAAATGACAGTAACAAAACAAATTAACCTTCCACTCTCCCACTCAAAGACAAAGGGCGTTGTCCAGAGCAGATGTGTCAGGTTGAGGCTCCTGAGATGAGAATGAAGAGGCCAGCTGTGCTTGGGGTCTGGCCCAGACTTTCCTGTTTCTCTGTGATCCCCGACTCTGACTATTTGAAACCCGTGAAATCAAGACTTCTTTTAAACTATTTAAGATCCAGTTTATCACTAATCCACACTGGGCTTTCCCTCATTCGACCACTTTTCTCTGCACTGTGTTTTGCTGATAAGATAAGCTTACAGGAGAATATTTCCAATATTGTTTTTGCCAACATACTCCATACTTAATGTATTAAGGAGAAAATGCTCTTTCAGTTACTTATTTTTTTCCTGGCGTAAAAGGGAGTTTCATTCTATCTAGATATACTTTGGTTATTGAAATGAAGACATTACTTTCATTTGAATCATTGCACCGTTACAGTGACTTAAAAATGTCTTTGCTACCTTAGGCTTTGGCAAAACAAGCCAAGATTGATTCTGAAGAACAGGCCCTCAGAGAGAAGGAAATTCATGAACGGATTGCTGTGGAAAGAACTCAAGCTCGTTACAAAAAGCATTATTTAATATGTGCTGAAATTTTTGATCAAATACTTGATTTGTCTACTAAAGTGGCAGACTATCGAATGTTGACAAATAAGTAAGTATTGTTTCTTTTATACATAATTAATACAATAGAGACACCATAGAGAACGAGAAATGATAAGATTGTAAAGTGGACACTAGGTTGAGAATTAAAGAGACACAAAAATGTTTTATGAAAGAAAGACTAAGAAGTGGGGTCCAGAGTACCTTGATTACCAATGCAATTCACATACTGACTAGCTTTATTTAATGTGTATTTATATGTCTTTTAATATTTAGATTTTTGTGTTGAAATTCTCTGTAATTTACTAGGACAACTAAGATAATTTATTTGAAACACTTGAAACTTCCTAGAAGACTGTAATCATTTAATGATTATTTACTAATAATCAATGCTATTTATTTTCATTGCACTTTGTTTCTAAAAAGAAGCAAAGTATTTATAAGGAAATATTCAACAAAACAAAAAAAATATTAAGAATATGCTAAAATAAGAACAAAGAAAAATTCAAATTAAAGCAGAAAGTTAAGAACAAGGGATACATTGACACACAGTTATAAAGGCAGCAGATTTACCAGTTACTGCAACTGAGCTGCCCATTTTACCTGAGCTTCCTGGCGGCCAAAGCAAAAAGGGAAACACAACCTGTTACATGATTTCCATTTTCCATTCTAGTTCTTTACAAAACACAAAACTTTTTTTGGAACACAGTTTAGAACACTAGTTTTCTTGTGTAGCCTCACCCAAGTAACCCTGAGTAGTGCAGAAGAGAATGTCTTCAGCAACGTCTTTTAAGCATACATAGCACCTGGCTTCATAGACCTATTTCTTGTGATGTCCTTAGCTCAAAGCTGAAGGGGAATGGCATCACAGTAGATCTCAGTGAAAGCAAGTCTACAAGGACAAGGATAAGGCAATTCAAATTTGTGTATCTGTCAAGTTACCCAGACTGAGATCTTCTTTAGAACCCATGCTGAAAAGAATGAAAGCCAGACAATCTACAGGATCAGACAGATGAGGGGGAAAGCAGCCCATCACACCATCCATGATAGAAACTTTCTCCACAGTTCTCGTCCCTATCGCCATTTTTCTGACCCACTGCCATATAAAAAACAACTAAATGAAATAACATAATGGTGAAGACATTTTGGAGATAAAACTTAGTAAGGTGGGAGACAGCAAAAAGAAAATAAATAACACTGAAAATTGAAAGGAATTAAGGAATGAACATTTAGAAATACTTTTCAGATTAATGTAAATTCAAAAGTTCAGAAACTATAAGAACAAAAATATGAGGAAGCTAATCTATAAAAGGGTTAAAAAGGAAAGGTGATGCAAAGCATTTAATGGTAAAACATAGATTATATTACAAAAAGGTAAAAGTAGGAGATTTAAATATAAAAACACAAAATAAGATCATTTAAAGGGGAAAATGTACAGAATAAAGCAGGTTGATTTCCCTAAACAAATTAAGGTTCATAATTTAAAATTAAGAGAGAAACACAAATCCCATTCTGCTCTTGGTAACTAGAGTAGAGGCACTTTTCCCTGTTCCTCCCACTGAGTACAGTGAAAAGCACTGGGCATTATACGTGAAACAAACATAAGAAGGATGTAAAATGTGGGGAGAAGAAGCCAGACTGGCTAGTGACCTCGAGACCCGAGGAATGACGCAGGGGTGAGCTTCCTGGGTTTTCTTTTGCCTCACACACCCCAGAGCCGAATATTCTGGCAACATGGAAGTGCCAGTCGTGCAGATGAAAACAGCCCCAACTAAAGCCTGCTGTCTCTAGCCAAAGGACCAGTAAAGGAACAGCCTAGCAAGATGGAAAGCTTTCAGACAATCACCACTCTTCTCCATCCAGCACCACAGAAGAAGATGGACCCCAGTCCCACCCGTGCCAGCAAAAGCCATGTAGGGAGCCTGGTCTCCAGCCCTCATGAAGCAACACACCCATCATGGTGGAGTCTGAGTAGATCAAGTAAGAAGCATGGTCTTCCACCCCACATGGCAATAATGGGCACTCCTCTCCTCTGGAGTATTGCCACAGGAGGCCTAGTGGAGCATCAGGACTTTCGCCATTGCCCAGTGGTAACAAGGTCACCCCCAGTGCAGTGGAGACCATGTGGGGAACCAGAATTGCCACCTCCACCCAGCAGTAATAGATCATATTACAAGCCAGTGGTTCCTCAAACTTCCTTATTGACTGTTCACGAACAGAACAATATATCTAAATAATTAGAGCTATCATAATACTTAGGTTTTTGGCTTCCCGTTGGGTGGCAAGGAAGACCAAGTGGGGTCTTCTATTCATACCAGTCAGCAACGCAATGGCACTTTCTCTTGCTCAAGTAACGTCAAACAAAGCAGCTAAAACAGAAAGTTTATACAAGATCCAGAGTCTTGGAGCATAATACAGAATGTGTGGATTTCAATAAAAAAAAGTCACTCATCATTCCAAGAATCAGAAAGAGCTCAAACTATGATGTAAAAATTGAATGTGAAAATTCAATATATAAATGTCTATATATGGGTTGAATTGTGTCCCCCCAAAGATATGTTGAAGTCCTGATCCCCAGTCTGCAAAATGTAACCTTATTTGAAAACAGAGTTATTGCAGACATGATTAGTTAAGATGAGGTGACACTGGTGTAGGGTGGGACTTTACAAGAAGTGGAGAAGAGACTCACAGGAAGAAGAACACCATGTCACAACAGAGGCAGAGAGGCACACAGCTGCCAGTTGAGGAACGCTCGAGTACTCACGACACCTGCCTGGAAGGGCCTGGAAAGAAGACTGTGAAAGGGATTCCTCAGCTTGCAGCATTGTGAATGCTTTTTTGAGGAGAGGTTGTAGAGACAGCCTCAGTAGCACTGACTGAGCCAGCATGAAGGAAACCAGGTTTAGAGCCTTCTTTTCAGCCCATTTAAGTGTTATTTCTATGTTGAGTAAGTGACTTAAAAATCAACTTACAGAGCACAACTTATTAACAAGTTGAGGACTTCCTATATTTATTTAGTTTGATTATTGTAATATTTCATAGAGACATACTAGTCTGCCTTTTATTACTCTATAAATCATGCTTCATGAAAGTTATATAGAGAATATATTGGCTATATGAAACCGTTTTACTTTAATGAAAAAAGCATATAAAATTTTAAAGTTCCAGAGGTATTCATATCACAAATCTTTTAAGGAGACTTTTACTCATACTTTGAAATTTAAGTGCCTTTTAATTGCAATCGCATACAATAACTACACATATATGTTAAGATGTTATTAGTCTACCCTACTAACAGTCAAGATAAACTCATTTTAGTATGTGTTCTTCACTAACTAAGATGTTATCAGTATATATATATATATATATATATATATATATATATATATATATATACTTTTCTAAGCACAGGTGTATTTTTGGTATCAGCCTATTTACATGAACTAACTTGTTAAGATTGCTTCTTAACAAAATTATTAATATTCAGATAGGCGATTAATTCAGCAACTGTCAGATTAAGTTTGGACAATACATAAGTTGTTTATTATTTACTTCACTATAGAAGCCAATGCATTTCAATAATTTTGATGTTATTTCTATCCTGATTAATTTCTAAACTTCCATATCTCCATAAAGTAATCTTCAGTAACTATAAGTATTTTATTAATGGAAAACATAATATGATCATATTTGAAGCTTTATATTTAATTGAAATACTTTTTTATCGTGGCGAAACATCTATAACATAAAATTTACCGTTTTAACATTATTAAGTATACAGCTCAGTGGCATTAAGTACATTCACATTGTTGTGCAACCATCACCACCCTCCATCCCCAGAAATTTTCCATCATCCCAAACTAAAACGCTAAATATATCTACTAAATAACAACTCCAGTTCCACCCCTTCCCAGCCCCCTGTAACCTCTGTTCTACTTTCTGTGTCTATGAATTTGTCTATTCCAGGTACCTCATGTAAGTGGAATCATACAATATTCTTTAGTGTCTGGCTTATTTCATTTCGCATAATGCTTTCAAGGTTAATCCATGTTTAGCATGTATCAGAATGAAATAAAGAAATACTACTTCTTAAGTTGTAATTTCAAGCTCTAGCCCAACTATTTTTAGAGAAATGCATGTGAATCATGTCAGTCTCTTTCCTTCCTTTGCACATTTTGTCCCTCTTGGAACTGTTTTCCCATTACTCTGCCTCATTACCTCTGAGTCATTCATCATACTTAAATAGAAATAATCACTGAAAAATAATTTTAAAGGTTACTAAATATGCAATGATGATGAGACCACCATACATTAGATCTTTCTGTTATAAATTATTTGCAAATATGTGAACCAACTATCATCTTAAAAGGGCCTTGGAAAGAATCCAGTCTGTTCATTTTGCATAGGAGGACACTAATACTGGATCATTTAAATGATTTCTTAATGTTGTACAGCCATTTAATATCAAAGCTGGGAATCCAAAAACCTAAGTATTATGCTAGTTCTAATAATTTAGATATATTGTTCTGTTAGTGAAAAGTCAATAAGGAAGTTTGAAGAACCACTGGCTTTAAGTAACATTCATTCATTCAGACCTACTAAGTTCCAGACATTTTATTAGCCACTAGGAATAGAATAGCAAGTAAAATCTCTGGTCTCAAACAGCAGACCTGGGAGAATGAATATGAGAATAGAAAAACTAAGGTTTAAGGTGCATGTTTGACTAACCATTGATTCAACTCTACCATATTTTTTTTTTTTGCTATAGTCTGATTCCACATAAGTTGATGCATGATTGGAAGGAGCTGTTTTTTTATGGAAAGCCCATATATGAGCAAGCCTATATTAAACCTCTACAAGCTAAGCCCTCTGAACAACACCTTATAGAACTGGAAAAAAGGGACTTACTAGATAACACTGATTATGAAGAATATAAGGTACACACTAATATGGAATAATTAGAATTCAACATAATAAATAGTGTTTCTTTAACATCAACTTTGTGATATTATTTCATTTTATTCCTATTAATAGAAAATAGGTATTTAGTGTTTGCATTTTCCCGTGGTTTCATTTGTATTTATAGTACTAATTTTAAATTCCTAACTATTCATAATCTATTATCTGTAACTTCCAGTAATATTAAAATAATGGTCTGAAAAAGAAATCAAACATAATACATTAGCTTGACACGTAGATTTCAGAATTTTAAAAATGTTTTATTTGTTAGCATTTTTCTTTGTATGAACTGTCTACTTTTGCTTCAAAAACCCTTATTAAAAGGTATTTCTTTTAAAATTTATCTAAAAGTATACTGTCTTTGGAGGCAAATGGAAAAGGAGGAGGTCTGAGCTTCATGAGTAGCATAGATTCAAACAACATTTTATTCAAAGATTAAAACAAAAGGATTCGGTACCAATTGTGCTTCTTAGAAGAGCTGCTGAAAAGCCTTTGGGGTTAGACAGACCGAGGTCCCATTACTGGCACTGACAGCGGCTGTGAGACCTTATGGGCAGTTCGTCCCTTAAGTGCTAACAGACTCAGTTTCCTAGTTCATGAAAAGGGAATAATAATATGCCTACCTGATGTTTTTGTTGTGAAACGTAAGGTTATATGTCTTGAACACTGAGCCAAGTGCACTACATGTTGGATGCAAATAATACATACCAATTTCTTTCCACATCACCCTGTTCTCCCCACCCCACTCCATCTCACCTTTAGGAGAAAAGATGTAAAATTAATAGCCATTTGATAGAAGTCTGGGTAGCTCAACAGCAATGAAATGAAGAATGAGGCTTTTTTTATTAGACATATTGAATGAGTTCCAGAAGGGTGGTTAAGTGCAACATGAAAAAAAGAGAAGGAAAGCTGATTTGACCCAATCATTTGCTGATATTTAGCAAATACTCAATAAATGTTTGTTGAAAGGATGCATAAATAAAATGAATGATTGACAATGAACAGGGCAAAGTGTAAAATAGCACTAATATGTAACTATTAAAAGAAGATAAGTTTATGGAAAAAGACGAGAAAAAAAATTGAGATTGTGAGTAACTATACACCATATTTTATTTGGATGAATCTGTACTTGTATTACTAAAACAATTACTATTTATCAAGGATTGACTAGAATCTTATGGATGATATGCATATTTATTTTGTATGGTTGTAGAATATACTCAATCTAGCGTGTCTACTTATAAAGCTTCATAATAAAATGCTTTGACAATATCAAGCAATGTAAAGCTATGTCTTTCCATTGTAAAGCCATTTTATTTGACAAATTTTGCTGATTCATGGAATTTTAATTTCTAAGTTATTGCATAAACAGCTCTTTCTACTCTATTCTTGTTGATCTATAAATCAGGAGACCTAGCAGTCTGCAGCTTAGCAAAGATTTGGCTTTTTAACTTTTTTCTTGTTTGGGAAATTGTTACCACCGGAACATGCTTGTCTTACCCACATCCTGAAGCAGCTGGTACGTTTCTTTTGCAGGAAATTGTAAACTTGTGTTAGGAGTATGTGAACGTCTGGCAGTGCAGTTTATTTTGTTTATATGACCTTTATTGTTTTTTTCTGGAAATGAAAATGACCTTAGGATTTCTGATTTGTGTTTATATGCACTGCTCTTTTTGACCACATGATGGAAAATATACTATATACAGGTGTTAGGATGTATGTACTGTACACTATTCTATTAGCCATTCCCTTATTGCTAGAGCTTTTTTGTTTCTTCAGGATCTTGTTAAATTTTCCTGCTTACAAGTAAAAATAAATGTTTCAACTTATATTACCTGGCTTAAATAGTCTTTCACAAGATGTAGAGAGACAGCACATCCTGGTTTAGTTAAAGGAAATAGTTGTCCATACTTATCATTGCTAAATTTGCTCAGCATTTTTAATCCTTCAGGTAAATAGATAACTTAGAAATTATCTTTAAAAGCTTTACATTCTTAGCATACTTTATTGATGCCCATAAACACCATCCTTAAGGAGCTGATACCTCCTAGTTTTGAGCCCATACTTTTAAAGCTCTGTTAAACTATCATGATTAAAAATTTTAAATATTACATCTAGAAATTGGTATAAAGCAAATTTTTGCTCATGTGCGCATCATATGTAGCTGATGAAAATTTGACTCATTTCTTAAGATTATTTCCTAAATCATCACACTCTATTTATAGAATGAGAAAGCTCTAGTCCAGGAATGGTATGGCCAGAAATATCATTTATCACTCCCTTGGATTAAGACACTGGAAACACTTCTAAAATACAAACATTTTCCAAATAGGTAATACGAATCACTATCAACCTCTAAAATAGGAGCTAGGAAAGAAATTTGTACTGAAAGAATAGTTCCACTATTATTGTAGTTTAGTTTTTATGTTATGCTTTTCATAGCTGCAATTTCTCCTCTCTGTTTCCTTCGAGTTTTGCCCCCAACTCCCTAAATTCGTTCTGTAATGGTAAGGCTATCTGGCTGTTTTTTTCCAGCTAGGCCTCATTGTGTGGCTGTGTCTTAGTGGGGTTACCAGTATGCCCTAGGATACTGATTCGTGGCACTCAAACATAGTGATACTAACTTACAAAGCAGAATATTAATGTATTCATTTTCAAAGGGAGCTAGAGTTGTTCTAGGCCCATGATTGCCAAGAAACAAGGTTATCTTCCAGCTCTGGCTGACCAAGGATTTCAGGGGTTGGAGTGGGTTTTGCAGAGGTCTTGTGCTTGTGGGGGTAGAGGGAATGGAAGGGGAGCTTTGGTTATTAGAAAGGTATCTGGCGTCACATTATTGGAACTGGAGGCCAGCTGAGTCCAGTAGTGAACCATGGTAGAAACGGTTGTTTTAAGGTATCAAGTTCAACGCATTCAAACAAAATTGAGAAAAGTTTTACAAAGCCAAAGAATTGCTAGATTCTGTGCTAGATCCCAGATAGAAGTGCAATGAAATGAGGGGTGAGGAAGACATAGCCAAAGTGAAGAGTCCTGGATGACAGACATTAATAAGACTAGAGTGAATGTCCACCACGTATTTGTATTTCCTCTGGATCACATACATTAGGGAGAAGCCAGTCCTCTCCCAGGCTCTCTCTTATCTAGGGCCAGACAGGCCTTCCTGGGCTTCCTACCACTGATTTTCTGGTTCATCCTCTACCCACTTTGACAACCATAGGAGCTAGTTTCTATGCATCAAGTCCAGCTCCTCTTCAATCAATCGTTCAAACTTTCCACCTAGTATTTTAGAACAGGCTAAGAGGGTCTGACCTCTGCAGCTGTGTCTTGGTAGATAAATATAGAAAGAATATAGTGTGATTGATAATCTCAAAAAATTTGAGTGGATCCAAGAAAGTCTTTGGAATTTGGTGTGGGCTGAGAACCAGAAACTCTCCCACCTGGAAGGCCCTTACACCCCACTCCTCCTGTCCTGTGCCCAGGGCCTGTCAGCAATATTCTCTGATGCACTGAGCCTATAGTAGTCTTTCATACATTACTCGGTGCCACCTCTAACCATTTTTTTTTTTGGTTGCTTATACCTCTTTGAGGTATCAACCTTGGCAGTGAAACAGAGTACATAGAGTGGCAGTAGTCATTACTATGACAGAGGGTATTTTGTGTGGAAAAATTCTGTGTGAATTTTGCAGTGACAAGATAAGATAGGTAGAGCAAGTCATAGTGTCTACATCCTTTGTGACATCAGAGAAATTCTAAACCACACCTTGCTGTCTTGGCAAAACAATGGCAGCAAGTAGGTGAATCAGATGTAGAAGCTTCTGGAAAAATTCTTTGACCAGCAAGATCATAGAAATGGATACAGAAAGGATCTTGACACCACCACCTCCCTGATGAATGGAGCATAGTTTGAGCAACTAAGGAATGAAGTTTACTGTTTATATAAGGGCCGCCATCACCATCAGAGTTGTTTGGTGGCCCTTGCACAGGGAGAAATCTGATATGAAGTCCAGTATGATGCAGTCCCATGGCCATTTGGGGGTCGGGAGAAATGCAGTTGCCTTAGAGCCTTAATTTGTTTTAGCCCTAAGCAATTGTGCTCTGAAAAGCATTGGGCTAGCTGCACAGCGGCTCTAATTTCCAGCGTGCCACCTTTGATACCTTGGAGGGGCCACTGTGGCTTGCCAGGTCAGAGAATGGGACCAGGAGTAGGAACCTGTCATTTTGGGGGTGAATAAGCTACTCCCCCACCGATCTCCTCAGTGAGTCACTTTGAGCATGTCTGAAATCAGAGGGCCAAGCAGAAGTCCCTGCCCGTCATTTGCCTCTGAATTGTCACTGAATTTCAGCAGCACTGAAATGTACGTTTTCAAGGCAGAGGATGTCTCAGAGTGGCTTAGTTTCAGTTGCCCCTGGTCATCAAACCTACAAGACAAAATATCAGCCCAGTGATTCTGGCTGCCTGATATGTAAGTAATCGGTAGCTCCAAGTTTTGGAAAGAGAAGCCTGTTCACAAGTGCTGAGCTTTCTGAACTTATGGACTTGTTACAAACTAGAGTTATTGGATTGCATAGTGATTTACCAGGCTCTCTCAGATGTGGACCTCTAGGCTTGACAGTGATCTTCATCACATGCTGGGAAATTTGACCATGGCCAATTCAAATTTCCCTCCAAAAATAAGCACAAGGTAGATGGAGTCTGTTGCCCTGGGCCTTCTTTGTGATAAGCTAGAATTAAACATGATATTATTTCCATAACATTGGATGAGGACAGATTGGGGAAGGCTACTGCTGGGATAGAAGTGATCAGATTACTGAGTAAAAGTCACTATTGGATTAGGATCAGGTCTTCAGATTTCCTAATGAGCCAGAATCAACAATGGAACCAACTGGAAATAAGCATTGGCTCCTAGCCACAACAGTCTTCAGCTTAGCATGGGAGTGAAACAGAGTTAACCTCTATCTGTTCCTCATTACCGTGGGCTAC